TTTCCCAAGTGACAACAGTAATGTAGAAGAAAGTTTGCAAAAGAGTGTTCAAAGGGAAGAAATAAGAAGTGAATGTGCCCCTACAGAACCTGATGATTCTGTATCCAGTCTTGCTCAAAACAATGTTGATCTAGAACAACCTGCTTCACCACAGTCTAATTCAGATTCAAGGATCAGTTCTTCACAGCCACAGCTCAATCCACAACCTAGGAGGTCTAGCAGACAGACTTCAAGACCTGGCTATCTCAAGGATTATAACTGCAACTTACCTGCTTATAGGACTTCCCCTCATGTCCTATCCACTGTCCTGTCTTATCAAAAGGTATCCCCAGGTTTCAGAACTTTTGTCACCAACATTCTTGGGATCAAAGAGCCCAAGTCCTACAATGAAGCCATTCAGCATGAATGTTGGAGGACTGCCATGCAAGCAAAAATAGAGGCTTTGCAAGCCAACAGTACATGGGAATTGACAACATTACCACCCTCCAAGCAACCAATAGGGTGTAGATGGGTTTACAAAGTTAAGTACAAACCTGATGGGACAGTTGAAAGGTGCAAGGCCAGGTTGGTTGCAAAGGGGTACACCCAAACTTGTGTAATTGACTATGTAGATACTTTCAGTCCAGTGGCTAAAATCACTACTATCAGGGCCTTGCTGGCTGTGGCAGTTGTCAAACAATGGGAGTTACATCAACTTGAAGTCAACAATGTTTTTCTTCATGGAGATCTCCAAGAAGAAGTTTATATGATTCTTCCCCCAGGTTTTGTTCCTAAGCAGCCTGGACAAGTTTGCAAATTGAAGAGGTCTCTTTATGGCCTAAAACAGGCAAGTAGACAGTGGAATGCTAGACTAACTACTGAACTGCTTCACATGGGGTTCAAACAAGCAGTGTGTGACAGTTCCTTGTTCACTAAAGAATCAGGCAGTAGTTTTGTTGCACTACTGGTATATGTGGATGATATAGTTTTGGCTAGCATTGACAATGATCAGATACAACAGATTAAAGATCACTTGCATACAGTTTTTCAGATCAAGGACTTGGGTAAATTGAAGTTCTTCCTAGGACTTAAGGTTGCCAGAAATCACACAGGAATATCTATAACACAGAGAAAATATGCTTTAGATCTGTTGCAAGACACATGCTTCCTTGAGAGTAAACCTGTGAGATGCCCCATGATTCAGACAAACAAACTCTCAAAGGATGGAGGTACAGCTCTTGAAGACAACTCCCAGTACAGGAAAGTGGTAGGAAAACTAGTGTATTTAACCATCACTAGGCCTGATATCTGCTTTGCTGTGCAACAACTATCCCAATTTTTGGACAGCCCCACTACTCTCCATTTGCAGGCAGCTCACAGGGTCTTAAGATACATCAAGAATTGTCCTGGACAAGGCTTGTTCTTTCCTGCAAATTCCCAGCTCAAAGTAAGAGGATTTGCTTACTCAGATTGGGCAACTTGCCCTGACAAAAGGAAGTCTGTTACTGGCTTCTGTGTTTTTTGGGAGATGCTCTAATATCTTGGAAGTCTAAGAAGCAAAGTACCATTTCAAGGTCATCATCTGAAGCTGAATATAGAGCTCTTGCCCTTGCTACTTGTGAAATGCAATGGTTGTTCTACCTTCTTGAAGTCCTAGATTTCTGCTTGAAAGACACAGCTGTGTTGTTTTCTGATAGTAAGTCTGACATTGCCATGGCAGAAAATCCTGTTTTTCACGAAAGGACCAAGCATATAGAGATCGACTGCCATTTGATGTGGGAACAGATCCAAAAGGGAGTCATAAAGTTGCTGCATGTTCCTACTGAAAGCCAGACAGCAGACATGTTCACTAAGCCCCTACAACCAATGGTGTTTTAGAAGTTTGTTTCCAAGCTGGGATTACATTTTATGTATACTCCAGCATGCAGGGGGGTATTAGAGGATTAATATCTACTTATTTTGTTAGTTAATCCTCTTAGAAGTTAAAACAGTTAGGGCCGTTAGAATTCTGTTAGCTTAGTATATTCTAAGCTGAGTAAAAAGGCTTTTTCATCTTCTTTCAATTCAGTTTTGTGATACAATGGAAAGATGTTTGGTTGCGGCTTGTGTTCGATACCCACTTCTTTAAATGTCTTAGAAAATGTGAGGGTGATAAACCTGTTGGGCTCGTCAACGTTATAAACCACATTCTCTTGAATCGTGCTGGTCCGGTTAAGAAATTTAGTCTGTGCATTTCTTGCCCGGAATTGGAAGGTCCGCGGCAGTCCGACTTAGATTGTTGGTGCGTTTATCTATCAAGAAATGGAGTTGAGGAGCTTAATGGAGGGTTATGCCCGGGACCCGTGTCCACCATGCATGGTGGACACGCTATACATTCATAATTTCTATATTGTACATTCATAATTTATATACTGTACATTCATAATTTTTATACTGTAGATTCATAAAATTTATAATGTAGATTCATAATTTCTATACTGTAGATTCATAAAATTTATAATGTAGATTCATAATTTCTATACTGCACATTCATAATTTCTGTATTGTAGATTCATAATTTCTATACTGCACATTCATAATTTCTATACTGCAGATTCATAATTTCTATACTGTAGATTCATAATTTTTATACTGTAGATTCATAAAATTTATAATGTAGATTCATAATTTCTATACTACTCATTCATAATTTCTGTACTGTAGATTCATAATTTATAACTATGTGTTCATTTTTTTTTTGAAAATATAACTATGTGTTCATAATTTGATAACTATACAGTTTAAAAATTATGAATCTACATTACAGAAATTATGAATATACAGTACAGAAATTATGAATGTGAAGTATAGAAATTATGAATCTACATTATAAATTTTACGAATCTACAGTTTAGAAATTATGAATCTACAGTATAGAAATTATGAATGTACAGTATATAAATTATGAATGCACAGCGTGTCCACCATGCACATGATGGACACGGGTCCATAGCATAATTTGCCGAGCTTAATATCACTATATTTGGAGAACAATATATGCTGTCATCTTGTGTAATCTCGTGCCGAACAATTAAGCAATTGGAACTCGGGGGTTTCAATTTTGATTTCGATTTCTCGGTAAATGGTGTTGGCTGTATATTTCCGGGCGTCACTTCATTAGTTTTTCATGAGGTTGAGTTTAAGAGTACAATTAATGGAGGAGTCCTCTCTAATCTCGATAGGCTTTCTTTCCCTTTTTGCATGTGTTGGGATCAATAATTTTAAGATTTGTGCTCCAAAACTTAAAAGCTTTGGATTTGGCTTTTGTATTTCATGTGGTTAAACAGAGGTCATGTTCGCTATTTTCTCCTCATCTTAAAGCAAGTATATATGCCTGCACGAGCACCTTAAATGATGTGCGGGCAGCTCAATTGGGAGTTAGATGGTGTTGGAGTTGTATGTTTCTGTGCACCGAGAACAGGTTCTCCCACCTTAAACCACTATGTATGTTAATGTGGTTTACTCCTCCACTATCTTATCATATTGGGTCTGAGGGAGAAAATTGTACCTTTTATGGTCAAAGATTTTATTTTATTTATTTTTGGTTTTCTGGCTTGTTAAATTAGAGTTCTTCTCATGGCTAATTTTTGTTTCCTTTACTGTTTTTAAGCTGGATGATGTTGCAGTAGTGTCACAGGCATTCCCAACAGCAAATCTGCAAGTAATATGGGTGATGGATTTAGATTCAGACTTTGGTCAAATCACCGTCGCTTTGAAATTGCTTGAAATATCCTCCAACCTATGCGAAATGGAGATTAAAGCAGAAAACATGCCGGTAAGACATGTAATATACGGAAATCATGTTTTTTTTCCCTCAAATTCACACACGATTGTATTTGTTTTGTGGAAGATTTATATAGTAATGAGTACTCAAATCATGTGTTTTTCCCCTCAAATTCCCCTCGAAATATCTTGCAATGGGGCATCAAAATCTTCCCATAAAATCTTTAGGAATGGGGAATCCGAATATTCCTTTTTTTAAATTTACTGTAACTCATAATCTCCATTTACTCACCATTATTGCTTATTTTGAGAGCTGGTATCTAACAGTATTATTAGCTCAGGAGAATTTTGATATTTTTCATAACTTTTCTTTCCCATGTTGAATTATTTCGTTGCAACCCGATAAATTTTTCAACAACTTTTGTCTACGTTGTTTATATAGGGTGATTAAAAATATATAGAAAAGTGTATCTCATACACACATGGAGTGGTTTGATTCTTTGTTTTCCCTAACATGCATGTCTTTCATCGTTGTTGAGTTATAGTCAAGTATGTGGATTGACAAAGATGATGTTGAGGACAACAGAGAACAAGCTAATGATATGCAAGACCCACTGTGAGTCATGGAAGGTCCTATCACACATTCACACGGGTAAGGACAAGGAGGTTGCAAGAAGCTTTAAATGGTCTCATAAATAAGTTAAACAACAAGAAGACTGAACTATGTGAACTTGGGGAAGGAAGTGAAGCTAAATATGTCAATTTAGTTGTGGTCCAGGATTGAGTTTCAAAGAAGCTTGCCAAATAATGGGAATGAGTCTTACAAACAAAAATTGAATTCAAATTTCAATTTTCTAGCTTAACTAATTGTTCCCTAGTCTCTTGTGATAGTAGCTCATCTTAGACCAATTTATTTCTTTATTTTTACCGCGGTCACTATGTATATTTTGTGTTGGAGAAAATAGCAACGTCAACGCTCGATCTGGAAGTCTTTTAAGAAGCACGGACACTATTGGTGTATGGTTGAAAGAAAATCTGTGCCGTGTTACAATAACACTACCTTAAAAGCGTTATTTGCCCAGTAACGATGCAGTTAGAACCCTGGCACGCTTTCGACAGGCTACACAAACTAACTACGCTTAGTTCGCACCAACTATAGCGTAGGCGAACCTGACTTTGCTTAGACCCAAGGAAATAAACCTCATATAGAAGTGAAAGGCTTTTTTGGAAACCGTGTTCTATAAAAGAGGAAGGTAGGCTGCTTATATACTTATTAGTTTAACAACCTCCCTCTTTCTAGCCACAACTCATAGCTAAATAAGGGGGGAACGTGTGGTTATGTAATTACATGACCACAATTAATAAACAAAACATGGGCCACAATTCTAGCTTTAGAATGAACGTGTGGTGAAGTTCTAATACATTGAATGTATTTCCAACAATCCCCCACACATTCAAAGTAGAAGACTAGAAAGAAAGTAAAGTTTGAGCAATACAAACGAGTTGATCTTAATGTCAGTGTTTGAGAACTTGAACTGACATGTAGTGACACTGAGTAATTTTCTTCCCGGGAGTGATATGAATCTTGAACTCACTGGTTAGATAAATTTTGAACTCTAATGCAAACACCAACTCTAAGTAGCAGGTTCTACGAAAGTCAAACTCTTTGACTTCTTATGAATATCCTTTGTATTCAAGTCTGTTATGTCTATCTTAATATGGACCTCCACCTTGTCAAAGTCTATCTCACCATAGACTCTTAACTCGGACAAGTCTTATCGCATTATAGACTTTTATAACTTTTCAAGTCCATCTCAATATAGACTTTTAACTCTATCAAGTCTATCTCAGTATAGACCACCTTTAAAGGCTTATAGAATAGTTAAAGACGTAAAGCAATTGTAAGTCTTTTCTTTCTATCATAGGCACTATTCTTTGCAGTGCAAATGACAGTTTGTGAATCACAATGTATATGTAGTGAAGGTGTTGGACACCCCCACAACTGCACGTTTATCAACATATTTCTTAGCCACTTAGCTTCTTGGGATACCCCCTCATTACACTCCTGGAAATCTGCATTTTTCCGACCACCAAAAAGTGGTCGGAAAAGGGTGATTTCAGGTCGGAAATGCAATTTCCGACCAACTTACCGACCACTTTATGGATTCGGAAAAAAGCCCTAACTGTTACCGACAACTACTCAAGGTGGTCAAAAATACCGGCTTCTTGTTGAGAACGTCGGAACTACTAGTTGTCGGATAGAAAGCGCATATTTTCTACCACTAGTGGTCGGTAATTGATCGGAATTACCATCCACTGGTGGTCGGTAAGATTTACAAAGAAAAATTAAAAAAATTGAATTACCGACCACTAGGTGGTCGGTAAGATTTACTAACCAAAAAAAATAAATTTTAAAATTCTACAAATGAATTATGGACCTATTACAATTATACAAATTTTAACACCACAATATTAAATTCTACAATACAATTACCAATTTAAGAAAATCAAACATTAGTCAATCATTTAAATCAAGATGTAACAATTGTTTCACCATCAAAAATACATTTGTCAAAATATTAGCTAAACATGCATGCTAATAAGGTTTTGTAGCAATTGTTTCAGCATCCAAATGAGTTATAAGAAGCTTGAAACAATTGCTACAAATGGTCTATTCTTAAGTGTTACTACAAATGAGTTATAAGCATCTATTTAAAGTTCTAAACCGTAAATGGCTACCACAAAACGGGAGAAACTTTTGGATTCAATGATGGGTGAAAGAGGATTTGACGGATAAAGGAACGAGCACACAACATCTTCTTCCAAGTCCTGAACTTTTATAGCAAAAGGCAGCCAGTGGTGGAAGAGCAGAAAGATTCAAAAAGAAAAACTTAGAAAGTAGCTAGGTAGATAGGTACCTTCTTAATCCCTCTGGCAAGCCTCGGTGGCTCATCCACTTCTCAACTTCGAGACGCCTCAGTGACATTTCCAACTGCCTAAACATGCAGAATAACATACATACATACATACATACATAATTCTACTAATTAATGAGAAGTTCAAAGAATCATAAAGCTAGCTAGGTGAGATCGAAACTACAAGTTTGTCTACAATATAATGCACGGCATTCAAAGTAACACTTGTACCTGCTACCAAGAGACTGTAGAAAGTTTTGCATATTTCCAATGAGCATAGCAAACAGTAAGAGGCCTAGTCCAATAATGGCCATGGTGAAAAGAACTTCCCACTCGAAGTAACTTGGAACTAGATTCCCAGCAAGCGTACTTATTTGCTAACCACGCACCAAAAAATAATAATTATAACAGATCAGATGGCCGGATAATTAAGAAATGCATGCATTTACCATATATTTACACCAAATCTAAAATTTTGCAATGCTTTACCACCACACCACACAAACAATATATATAATAAATAATTAAAAACAATGATAGATGAAGACAATTTATGAAGATTGAATACCTGGAAGCCCCAAAACAGTGAGTATATATATCTCGTAAATAAACTATGCTTTGTTGTGAGGTTGACTGCTTGCTCATATATTCCATAATCAAAACAATTAGTACTAAAACAAGCAATTGAATTTGTATCATTCTTCCATTGATTCCATGCTGGATCTGATGAGAATTTACTGTAATCATTGTCGTGCCCACAGTCAATGAATTCCCTGCACCTTCCTATTTCAGAAGTATGACAGGCATCACGAAGACATTGATTCACCCTCTGCAGGATCAGTAGGAAAAAGAAAAATAAGGAGGACAGAGCTGAAGGAAGGCCGCCTATACATTGAAGATATGATTTTAAAATACATTTTCCAATTATACTGCAGGCATATAAGTTCCAAGAGAGAATTTCAATGATTATGAAGTAAGTGCTTCATAAACTTTTTTGCCCTGGGTTATCCAAGTAGCTTATGTAAACCTCAGCAAATTAAAGTCATGGAACCAAAATCTAAAAATTATCTAAATTAGTTTCATACCTGTAATCCAAAAAGATACCAACATGACCCCACCACATGGCTAGACAGCATAAATGTTAGAAGATTTGTCACAAAGGAAGCAGTGACAGCATTATATTATACTAATAATAATAATAATAATAATAATAATAATAGCAATACATGTTCGACAAGTACCTTTGATCTGAACTCTGTGAGGAGAATAGTCACCCGAAGTAGCATGTGTATTAAGTATATGAAATTAGTCAAGCTCCTCAAAATCACAATTGTGGTTGTCAAGGGCCAGTTCAGTACAATGCATTTGTTATCCTATAACAAAAGTAGAAAGGCAAACAAAACATCATAAAACACATGTGTGCCCGTAGTTAAGAATAGGGGAAAAAAACATAATGGATACTAAGTGCCAAATCTTGATTGGTCAAAGAGGGAAATTCAAAACATACAAATCAGTGAAACACACAAAAGAAAGGCAGGTATGCTAAACAAATTGAAAAACATGGGTGCACGTAAGAACATTACAAATTTTTAATTGGTCAAAAAAGCTAATTAATTAAGAACTCTCGAAATTGTTCAAAGAATGCTAAATACAATTGTACAAATAAGTTCTTGGCTTTCTGTTGGACCATAAATTCATCAGTGTTGAGCTCGATTTTATCTACCTATGGTACACATATATTTACTCTAGCATCACCATGTTGTAGAAATTAAAAACACAGATAAAAATTGGTATGGTGCTTTTATTTCGGATTTTGATTAGTGTCTTATGGTAATTGACTTCTAAGTTATAACTAAACAGAGTGCTTTAATGTTGGGAGTTCACTAGATTCATCTGTCATGTGAAATATATTGCAATCAGTACTTACACGAGCCAATATTTATGTAATGTTTTATATGTCACTATCTTCCTTTTAGGAAAGGTTGCATCACCAACATTTTGCATATCACAAAGTAATATATTATAAATAGTATTAGTTTATTACAGGGTGGGCAAAGAAAGAAATTTTTATCATTCTAAATCATATTTAGAAAACTCTGCTAACAATTAGATACATGCTAAATATCATTTTTTTTCACCTCATAAAAGCAAATTTCTAGACAGAGATTCTAAATGCAATACGCATATATGTAATTCAGTTGAAGTGCAAGAGTTATATAAGACAACCACAGTTAAGTGAATACCTTATTCACAGTCAGCAAAAAGAAGAACAAGGGATCAATAAAAACTGCAAATGAACATGAGAAGACAGAATTTGTTCCACCGCTGCACCACTTTAGCATGTGGATTCATGACACCTGGAAGGCATGACCACAAGAAAGAACATAAGTGAGTTTCATCTCCCATCTTCTCCTTCTGCAACTGCAGCTTCTTCTGCATAACAAAATGGTGCAGCTTAACAAAACCATCCCATGCATATATTGAGTTGTTCTGCAAAATCTCAAAGTTTCATCAGAAACTATCAAGAAAATCTTCTGAAGCAACAGAATTGAATGAAAGATTTAGACAACATATATAAATAAGGCATGAAGTTAGAATAAAGGAAAACTTCTACATTAGAAATGCAAATAGATATGCCGAAAGAGCATAGATATTCCAAATACATTAGAAGTTTTATGCTATTTTCTCAATGAATCCTATAACCAGTTTGGAACTCAAGTTGAGGAGGTTTTTGCAGTTGCTAAAGCAAGTTCAATCAGTTCATTAGAGCTCATTGAATACCTAAAACTTGTGTCCACAATATATATTAAATTTAATCCTAAAATCTGAAACTAAAAAGTTGATTGAGCTTGCTATTACCATCATATTATAATATCAAATATACCTTTTCCATGCCCAAAGATGCGAGTGATGTTGTGGTTTTTAGTATCCCAAACTCGAATCGTGCCATCCTCTGATCCAGACACCAACAGGGATCCATCCATACTGAAAGCTAAGCATGTAATGCCCTTACTGTTTCAATGACAAGGTCAAATCATTTAAAGTAAAATCACGAAAAGACGGCATAGGAAAGTCAAGTATCCATTCAGATAAGACTTTCCAAGAATTTAATGAAGAAAATGAAATACAGAGTTTACCATTCATAAATTTATAGAAAGCAAAGGCTTGAATGTTTGAATACCTATGTTCAGTTAAAGAACCAATGACATACTTCAGTTTCAGACCTTGATCCATAGTTCAATTTAACAATGGATAGTGTCATGTGCCCCACATGCCATGTGCCCTTCATAGTCGACACAAATAACTTCGATAGTGTCACTAATGCAATTCTTATCATCAAGGTGAATTTACAGGGCCAAAAGCTCAACAGCAAAAAAAAAATAAATAAATAAATAAAAATCTAATACAGTGTTATTCTACTTAATAACATTTTCTTAAATTATCATCTAAATAGACAAATCAACATTTTATTCTACTTAATAACATATTGTTAAGTTATTTGTGGTTTCAATGTCATGTGTTTGTTTGTTGACATTTCCAACCCGGTTTTGCTTTCAAACAGATTTTATTAATTAGTGAACTCTATACCTCAACAAATTACAAGTGAACTCTATCACCCAGCTTGAGTGCAAAATAATCCCTAATAATTCTTATCTAACATTGATAAGGCACAAAAGACATATGCTTTACATATACTTAAGTACTTAATACAACAAGCCAAAAAAAAAAAGAAGTATGCACCTATAAATAGCTTACCAATAATAATGATTCTGTCGTTGGTTCCCAACCAAGTTGATGTCCAGCCTCCACACCAAGTTGAAGAACATAAAAGGTTCTTGCACACAAAGCAAAATGATGGTAATAAAATGCAACTTCCAGAGCTTGAACACAAAGAATTCATACTTTATAGAGGTGGTGATATTGTTCAGCTTGCTTCCTACTTTTTTGAACCAAAACTCTAGAATCAGGTCACATGTCACTGCAAACAAGAACCGAATATTATTCAAGACGAACTTCTTAAGCATGATTCATGAAACCAGAAGTAGATTAATTTATAATCAGTTAATTTTATCACTTATCTCATACGGTGAACATTGGGTAGAAACACAACTAACTAGGAATACAAGCAGAAGAACTAGGAAGACTAAAGATGGACATATACACCAATCAACAGAAGTAAATAAATGATATAAGTGCATATAAACATCAGCTATAGTACCTGTATACAACTCCAATATTTGGAGTGAAAATCTGAAACTTTTGCACCTGTGGTTAATAAACTGAAGTATCATTATCAAACCATTGATATTCAAAATACAACCAAATATAGTATAAAAAAAAATATGATGATGAAAGAAAGACAATACAAGTTAGATGGCACATGAGTGTAAAGGTTCATAGATACCTACACATATTCTTATATAACCTAGGACTACTTTAAAGTTCAAGATAATATCACCAAAAATCTAGTTTGGACTATGGTATCCCATAATAATAAATAAATAAATAAGAAGAATTATATGGCATTAGATTCATTGCTGTAAATAAATAAATAAGAAGAAGAATTATATGGCATTAGATTCATTGCGGGAAGAAACTGCAAAATTGCAAAAACCAAGGAAAAATAACCTAAACGAGTATTGGCATACTAGTGGAGGTGGCAGCAGAGCAACAAGCATTGTAGAATAAATCATCTCTACGCACACGCATACACCAAAGAAATGTATATGTAGACTAACCTCGCAAGGCTCCTCTACCAAATTAGAAAAGCTTACCTTCCATTGGTATACAACAGACAAACAACCCTAATAAGTTAGGAATAAGTATGTAAAATTAACATAGAACCCTAATAGAACCCTAATAGACAAATAACCTAATAGAAAGGCTCCTCTACTATGTAAAATTAACATACAAACAACAGACCACCTACCCCTGCGACCAAACAACCCTAATAAGTTACAAATCAAATTGATTCACCAACAACTGAGAGTAAAAATTCAAACATTGAGGAAGATAACGAATAGGAACACATAACACTTACCATGAGGGAGAAACGAGACGGAATATCTCCAGTATGTCGGTAACAAGCCACGAGTCGACATTGGCGGCCACCGCTGGAGACGAAGTGGTTGAGAGAGTTAGAGAGTGAGAGGTAGAGAGGCGGAGACGAGAAGACTTTGCGATGAGCGATGAGCGATGAGCGATGGTGGATTGGTGGCGTTGGCAGTCTAGGTTAAAGACAGAGAAGCGATAAGTCGATAACATTTGAGGTGATGAGTGAGAGGGATAAGTGGCGGAAATTAAATGGGGTTGAGAGTTTCGAAAGAAAATAATAATAATTAATATTTAATAATTTAATAATAAGGATTTTCGACCACCTACAGTGGTCGGACACTAAAACTAATTTTAAAAATTCAAAGAGCAAAAAAAAAAAAAAGTCTCGACTTATTTCTAACATCCTAGTAAAGCTGATCGGCATTTCCGACCACCATGGTAAATGTAGTCAGAAATTTCGACATTTTTCGTCCAACTTAATTCTTGACGAAAAAATTTTAAAAAATCACTTTTTCCGACCATTTCTGTTGGTGGTCGGAAAAGTGGTCAGAAAATTGAAAAATTCCAGCAGTGTTATATTTAATAAGAGGCGGTTAGCCCTTTCTCACTCAAGTCAGAGATCTCTTTAAGTCTACCTCAACATAGACCACCCCAATTGAGTATAAGTCACCAAGATCACTTTTTACTCATGTCATTATGCGGTGAATTCATTAGGTTTGTCTCAACAACACCACCCTTCTCAAAGATTTATGAATTCATTAAGAGCTGTAGCTCAACCTCACAAGTACACACACTGTAGGAATGACCAACTAGTGTACTATTTTGTAACTCTTTTCATGGTTTCGTTTGACCACAGAAGTGGGACCCACCACGAATTCATTACCACTTGGACTTTAAGTCCTTCCAATGATTCAGCGACTAATCCTCATAATTAGCCCTCAAGTAAGTTGATTCTCTTGATCAAACTTACATGCACTTTGACGAGTACTTCGTTTACTCGTAAATAATCCCTTGAGATTTTCATGCTTAACATGAAACATTCTCTTTCATCATTATTCTCAATACAACAGAGAAACTTTTGATAAAAATATAAGGAGTTAATTACCCCCACAATGCAACACTTATAAATATTTTTATCAAATGTATTTGATCTCTTACCCAGACTGATCTTTGGTGCCCAACATTAGCTCCTTTGTAGACTGAGTTTTGCCGATTTGTTTTGTGGAGCACTATAGAAGCTTCGCACTCTACCTGATACATACTCAACAGTTGAATATATTTCAACAAACTTGGTTATCTCAACTCATCATAATTACCCTTTAAATAGGAATTAGAAGTCTTTCAAGACTCAACCAAGAATTTAAATAATATATATACAAATTCTCATTGTTAGTAAGCCATAGAGATAATGTTGTCCACATGCTACTTCAAGTTGAACAACACAATCACAAACTTCACATCATATTCTTAAAAGAAATTAATCTCATACGTAAAGAATATGTTCAAACTAACATTTATTAGGGAATATATCTCAACAATGTGAATTTAACAAGTATAGCTTTAACACTCAAAGTTATTCCACCTGCAAAACTTTTTCTTCACTTGAGAAAATTAAACTCATATAAAGCATTCATATGATGCCGATCAAAATTACTATTGCAGTACTTCAACAATTTCTATTGCAAGACTTTGATTGTTTAACAACATACGAAAGTCAACCTCATTTCAAGTGATGATCAAGTGGCGCTCTAACTAGCCTGCATGATCAACACCTTCTTAAAAACTCCCAGGTTTAGTGGTGAAACCAAAGTTTACTTAAAAACCATCTTCCTAGACAGAGTATTCAAGAATGATGACTTTCCCATGTTAGTCTCGGTACATAATTCAGATATTTGAGATTATGTTACTGTAAAGTATATATGTATCTCATCAAATGGTGCAATGTTTGTAACATATCCACAATATAACACATAATGTTATAAATTCGATATGTGCATAAGTACACAATTTATAAACTTTAAATCAGATTGTCGATTTAATCAATTAGTAGTAGTGTTAAATCAACACTTCTAACACAACAAAATCATAAAGCTCATACATGTGAATAATAACAATTCACTTATCCTTGTGCATACCGCTGTTAATTTTCTCTATAATATTCAAAGCACTCACCATATAAAATATGAAATGGTAATTTCTAAAAAGCTTGTCACAATATATATTTCACGTTTCAAATGCTCTCAAAGCATAATAATAAAATGGATGCAGGGATATAGGCAAACCATCTTCTAAATTATGTCATTATGACAATTTTAAGAGAATATGGTCAATGCCCAATAATATATGACTACTTGTGCTCAAAATAATCATTTGCATATAATAGTCTGTTATCATATAAATATTCATGTATCATATTAAAATATGAGGATACAATTAGACAAACCTCATCGGAGTATGGTCAAAGCTCCGATATGAATCCAATAATTATTTATGTTGTACTCCCTTGCTTAAAGGTTACACATAAGTCGAAGCAGTGTGCTTCACTAGTATTGTTCTGCATGAAGCTGCTGCCTTCCACTGCTGATCTGTGTTGTTGCTACACCATCATGTCGCCAGAAAATTATTATAATATGCTCCATGATTTGAGTAGTTGACTGTTGCTAAACTAACGCTTTTAACTGTTGGGGAAAATAGCAACGTCAACGCGCGATCTGGAAGTCTTTTAAGAAGCACAAACACTATTGGTGTATGGTTGAAAGGAAATCTATGCCGTGTTACAATAACACTACCTTAAAAGCGTTATTTGCCCGGTAACAGTGCAGTTAGAACCCTGGCACGCTTTCGACAGGCTACACAAACTAACTACGCTTAGTTCGCACCAACTATAGCGTAGGCGAACCTGACTTTGCTCAGACCCAGGAAAATAAACCTCATTTAGAAGTGAAAGGCTTTTTTGGAAACCGTGTTCTATAAAAGAGGAAGGAAGGCTGCTTATACTTATTAGTATAACAACCTCCGTCTTTCTAGCCACAACTCATAGCTAAATAAGGGGGGAACGTGTGGTTATGTAATTACATGACCACAATTAATAAACAGAACATGGGCCACAATTCTAGCTTTAGAATGAACGTGTGGTGAAGTTCTAATACATTGAATGTATTTCCAACATTTAGTACTTGAATTATTTATTTTGACAATAATGCATGTTAAACGCATATACAATAAATAATAAATAAATGATTAATATTTTCTATCAAATGCGTATAGGAAACTTGTCAAAAAATAATTCATTAGATCAAAAATATTTGTCAAACTCGTAAAGACTTAGTCAAAATAAAATTGAGAAAAAGAAATATCATTAAATTTTGAACCCCTTATTTCTTTTTTATTAGTCTCACATTTTTACCTGAATATTGAAGAATTATGAAGAAACCAAGAATAAATTTTGGGAAAAATTCATGAAGATATTACCGTGGAAATCATATTGGAGAAGAAAATAATTTAGAAAGCAGTGGAAGATATATTTTGGAGCAGCTGATTGGCATGCAATGCGAGCGCTATGCCTCCTTAGCAAGCTTGGCTAGCCCAAATAATTTATACTCTCGGGAGGTTCGAAGAACTCCATCCATTCGCATTGGCTAGCGCTTCTAATTGCCTCCTTAGCAAGCTTGTCCGCAACGTGGTATGACCAATCAAGGGCCCTGTGGGAGGTTTCCATTCCACTGCCTGCTTTGAATCACTTACCAGCCGCATCCTCTTCGCCCACTGAAGGCCAAGAAGAATAGCTTTCAACTCTCCTTCTGTGGCGTTGGTAGATCTTGTCGAGCTGAGCTACTATAACCGCCTTCCCACGTACCATTTGGACTCCTCCGCAACCGGTGAAAGCCGCATCCGTATGGAGTGTACGCCAGCCTTCGCTCGCATCATCTTGTCTTATCTGCTTCTCCATGTTTGAACCCGGGCATTTTCTTTTCGCAAACGCCTTTTCGCCTCATTGTGTTGCTCGTAAATCCACTTAACCTTTCTTCTCCAGTCCCAAGTTTCTTCCCTGAAGACTTTGTTGCAACGCCATCTCCAGAGCCACCACACCGTATGTGCAAAAATTTCACCCCAGTTTTCTATTTTGACGCCATTCACCTGATTGCCTGCGATATTTTTGGTTAGCCAACTATCAAAATCAATAGAAAAAAATTCATTAGTGGCCCCGTGGGGTAGTAATACCTCCCAGATTTGAGCTGCCTCCTTGCAAAGTCTGATGTAGTGGTCGACATCCTCGTTATGGTAGTTGCAGCTTGGGCATTTTGTATTCATGGTGAAGCCCCTTCTTCTCCGTTCCATATTTGTCATATTGTACGAGATTTAATTCAAGAAAGAGGTGAGATTGCAACAAGAGGTGAGGTAGCATGAATTAATTAAGGACGTGATATTGCAACAAGATGTGAGGTTGCAAAATTTGATTAAGGAGGTGAAATTGTAACAAGAGGTAAGGTTGCACAAATTAATTAAGCGGGTAAGATTGCAACAAGATGTAAGGTTGCACAAATTAATTAAAGAGGTGAGATTGCAACAAGCAGGTAAAGATGCAATAAATTAATAAACGATATGAGAGATTACAAGCAGCTGATGACGTAGTAATTTAATTAAAAGGCAGGAGAGAATTTACAATTAATGAAGTAGTCATGCGCTCAGATTAAATTGGAAGGAGGTGCAGTTTGAGAACTAGTTTTTTAATGGAAATTGTGACAATAATTGTGTTGATTTCATGTTTTGTCACTAATTTATGGTAATTTTGATGAGTAATTAGTTATTACAATGACTTGGTCACTATATAATATAAAAAATATTATATATAATAAAATAATGATTAATTCGACCAATTAATTGAAACAATCAAAGTATTAGTTTGGTTGATTATATATATACGAGAAAAGGGTCAAATAGACCCCTAAACATTACCCTAAAGATCAATTAGCCCCCTAAACTTTATAAAAGGTCAATTAAACACTCAAACATGCTAAATTTGATCAATGAAGCCCAAAAACTGATAAATGACTTGTTTTTACCGGTCATTTTAATTCCGGCGACGAAATCCGGCCACCGGCGATTTTTCCGGCGGCCGGCGAATTAATTTTCTGGCCGTCCGGTCGTCTTCCACCGGAGAAGACGACCGGACGGCCGCTTCTCCAATGGAGAAGGCGGCAGGCGGCCGTCTGCCGCCTTCTCCAGTGGAGAAGACGACCAGATCTGGTCGTCTTCTCCATTGGAGAAGATGACCAGATCTGGTCATCTTCTCCAATGGAGAAGACGACCAGACGGCCGTCTTCTCCATTGGAGAAGACGACCAGATCTGGTCGTCTTCTCCAATGGAGAAGACGACCAGATCTGGTCGTCTTCTCCACTGGAGAAGGCGGCAGACGGCCGCCTGCCGCCTTCTCCATTGGAGAAGCGGCCGTCCGGTCGTCTTCTCCGGTGGAAGACGACCGGACGGCCACAAAATTAATTCGCCGGCCGCCGGAAAATTCGCCGGTGGCCGGAATCCGTCACCGGTGGCCGGATTTCGTCGCCGGAATTAAAATGACCGGTAAAAACAGGTCATTTACCGGTTTTTGGGTTTCATTGACCAAATTTAGCATGTTTGAGTGTTTAATTGACCTTTTTTAAAGTTTAGGGGGCTAATTGACCTTTAGGGTAATGTTTAGGGGTCTATTTGACCCTTTTCTCTATATATACTAGTTTTTTAACGCGCATTGCGCGATTGGGATAATGCCCAATGCTTTTTTTTTAAATAAGTACTTTAAAGTATATTAAGGCAAGATTATATTGAAATTGTTCATGCATAGATAATTGAAGGTTGAATTTGCGTATTTAAATAGGTAATTCTTCTCCCAAAGGTTGAGTCCCCAACCCCAAGGCCCCCTCACACTCCGACCCGACAGAGTGGTTGAGTCCCCAACCCCAAGGCCCCCTCACACTCCGACCCGACAGAGTATTGTGGGAAGTTGTAAATCACGGTGACTCAATCGTTCAACAGACAGGGCCAAATGCTGATACGCACAAGGAATCTGCCCACTTTGAACATAATTCCCGCATTGCCGCCGCCGAGGTTCAAACCTTGGTCTCTTCTCCCAAATACTACCTACTAAACCATTGAGCTAAGCCCGTGCGGGTTAAATAGGTAATTCTAAGTTTACAAATGCAAGATAATATATTCAATATTGATTATAATTGTCAATAAAATAATTGTATAGATATGGTTGAAATCAAATACGGGACATGCATAAGGGAGAACAAATAAAAATTAGGACATAAAATATTAAATATATACTAATATTGTTTGAGGAGATTCCGACATTAGGATTTGTGGTTAAGTTCTATTAAGACTTTTTTTATTAGAATTAGATTAATGGTGTAGTTATAATTCTATATTAGACTTTAATATTAGAATTGGACTAACGGTGAATTAACGGAAAAGTTAAATGGATAATCATATAATTAAGGATAAATTAGAAAATCTTAAAAGAAAAAAATTAAAACCTCAACAATATGAACCATTCATTTGATTTAATAATTTGGCGGTCATTTTTTCTACCCAATGTTAATAATTAAATAAGGTCAAATCCGCTAACGCTAACCGCTAACTGCTAATTGTCAAACAAGGACATTGCGAGGTAGTTCTCACTTCAATTTGTTGTGTGATTTGAATACTCTCTTTGTCACAAAATCTCTCAGGTAGTTAATATGGTTGGCTTTATTAATTATATTTTTTTAAATTTTTTCATGGTATTAATAAAATACTTGGTAAATAAATATATAGCATTATTTTATGTTATAACTTTGATATTTAATTAGAAAAATAGTGCACAAAAAAGATAATAGATAATGTAGTGAATATAATCAATTGATGAATTTGAATGTAAAAATTTTTACATTTGAGAAAAATAAAGACAATATAACTAATGAAAATATTTATTTTAATTAATTTATTGATAATTAATAATTTGTTTTTCACGGAATAAAGACATTGTAAGGACAATGTAGCGAATATAATCAATTAATAAATTTGAATATAAAGAATTTTTTATATTGAAGAAAAATAAAGACAATATAACTAATAAAATTATTTATCTTATTTAATTTATTGATAATGAATAATTTTTTTTTTTGAATAAAGACATTGTGGACACATAATTCTAAATTAAAGAAATGCATATGTATTATTTTTTGTTGTAACTACTAAATTATTATTTATATAATTTAATAAGAGTAAAATAAAGTACTAATTATGCCAACTTTGATTGGGATGAGGTTCGAACCTAAGACCTTTTTTTTTATTAAAATCAATGAATAAGTTAACGGTGAACTAACGGCAATTCTTAAAATTTTAACGGAATTAGTAACGGTGTGTGGGTATTTTAGAAAATTTTAGTGTAAAATTTAAATCTGATCAATCTTTTAATCAATCTGAGCCATTCATTTGATTAAAATATGTGACCGCCATTTTTTCTACCCATTATAGGTCTAACTCTCTTGGGCTCTTATTAGTATATAGTAGATTTTTCTACCCATTATAGGTCTAACTCTCTTGGGCTCTTATTAGTATAGTAGATATATGTGTGTGTGTGTGTAACAATTTCACCCACACGGTAATTCAATTTTAAAATTTAATCAAAGTATTGAACAAGTTTAGTATTTTTGTACATTACCAAAAAAAAAAAAAAAAAAACTAATTATTTAAAATATTAAGTATAGTTAAATATTCCCGATTGTTATGTATTTTTTCTTTAGTAATTATTTATTGAATTTGGAAAGTAAATGATAAAAAGATATTGTGCCTTTTTTTGTTTTGTTTTTGTTGTTTTCTACCGAATTTTTATCCGAATATTTATTTCTTTACATATATAAAATTTAGAATTTTATCCTTTCAAAAAAAAATTTTAGAATTTTACAAAAACCTTCCAAATTTCTACAGAATCTTCTACGATCCTGATTTTTTGTTTTCATTACCCTAGGGTCTTTTTGTGTATTTGTCTAAATTTGTTAAGTTTATTAGTGAAATGATATTTTAGTATCCCGTTAACCCTACATCAACCACAAATTAGTATTAGAAATTTAGAATCCTTAGTTGATGATGTCTCCATTCGGCGTTACTCCCCTTCTCCATTCGTGCATATAATCGACGGTGTATTCGTAGCTTTTTTCCGGCAGAGCAATGGCGAGTCTGAGAGGCCACCATCCGAACATGCAACGCCCTTTTCCGGAAGTGTCTACTAGTCGACGGGCGAAGAGGCACCCTTCCGAACGAGGTAAGCAGTCCTCTTTCGCCTTCTGGTGTATTTTTTGTTGTTTTGGTTAACATTCAGTGCGGTTTCCGTCACTTTTCCCCCAATCTCTGTTTTCTTTCCAACTCTTCCTAATTTCCTTTTATTTACGAAATACGAAATCTTGCAGTTGAAGAATACAACGGTTTTAGCTTTTGATTTCGACTGAAGCCTCCTTATTCTATCAATTTAATGGCTCAACGTCGGCCACTCAAAACCGTAGCGGATGCAAGTAGGGATTTAATAAGTGAGCTGCCAGTAGAGGTAATGGACAGAATTTTGGAGTGTTTGCCCACCCGAGACGCCGCCAGAACTGCTCAGCTCTCAAGGCACTGGAATAATGTTTGGTTGCAGCATGGGCGGCTTGCGTTTGATTGGGAATTCTTGCTGACTGTCCAAGAGTGCCAAGATGATTATGGTAGAGCGCTCATGAACATAATCAATAATATCCTCTTTTCCCGTGCTTGGCCGGTTAAGAAATTTACTCTACAGATTTCATGTGCTGATCCTAAACCGCGGCAGTATGATGTTGATAGGTGGTGTCGTTTTCTGTCAACGAATGGTGTGGAGGAACAGAACATATCTTTATATAAGTATCTAGAGCCAAAATATCAGTTGCCATTTTGTTTACTCTCTTGCAGCATAATTAAGCAACTGATAGTCCAAGGTCCCTTTATTGATTTTCCTGTAAATGCTTGTGATATATTTTCCAATGTCACTTCATTAGCTTTCTTGCATGTTGAATTTAAGCACAGTGTTGATGGAATTGCCTCTAGTATTAGTATTCCTAAGCTTGAGAAGCTGGCTTTTGAGCATTGTATAGGGATCAGTGAGTTTGAGATCAGCCCTCCAAAGCTTGCAATTTTGTCTGTTATTGGTTCTATGTATGGTCTGGTTGAATGGACGAGATGGTTGGCACCACATTTGAAAACCATTAAGAGTCTTTGGTTGTGTGGCTCTTCGTTGTCGGTGAGAATCTAATTCATTTTACTTGATGCAAATGGATGGATAGTTATAATTCTTTACTTTCTCATGGCTTGTTAAAGTTCTTGTTGTGGCTAATTTTTTTTTCTTTATTGCTATTTTTAAGTGTATGGATGCATCTACGTTTCCAATTGCAATAAATCTGCAAGTGATGAAGCTATATGATTTAAATTTTGGTTGTTGGAAGCAGCTCGCCTTTGTTATGCAATTGCTTACAAAATGCCCCAACCTATGTGAACTGCATGTTATGGTGAATAAGGTAGAGTATATATTTGGCAATCGTGTATGATACTTCTTGTTTTGCTTTTTCAAATATCCTCGTAGTTGTGCTTGTTTTTCATTTCTTCTTGAGTTATAGGGCTGGGAGGATGATGACAAAAAAGCTGCTTCAAGGCTTTTGGAGGATCCGGATGGTTGCTTAGCTATTCAGGAGCTAAAGATTCAGATGCTTAACACAATCCAGATTGAATCATTCAATGGATCTGCATTCGAAATGTTTTTTATGAAATTGCTGCTCTCAAAATTCCCTGCGCTAGAGAGAGTTGTTATTATGAAGCGTTGGGATATGAATGCCTCCAAGGTGAGAAAAATCCAAAGGAAGTTGGAATGCTTCCCTCGTGTATCTCCAAATGCACAAATTGTCTGCCCGGACAATTACTATGAGCCTATGCATAAGGACTGGTTGGATACCCATGGTTTTAGGCTTATCCACCCTTATTAGTATGGCGAATATAATCTCCATATGTACAATTTGGGTGCAACTTTGAAATGTAAGGAATGGTTGTAGTGACAGATACTACATTGTAATAGAGTCAGTAATATTAAAAAAAAAAATGGTTGTAGTGGCGGATACTACATTGTAATAGAGTCAGTAATATTCAAAAAAAAAAAAAAAGAATGGTTGTAGTGTTGGAATTTGAAATGTTTTCTAAGTTGTTCAGCATGAGGTATGCTATGTGACCCCGTAATGGGCAAGAAAACATAAGGAAAAATAAAGAAAGAATAATAGTTGGAACAGGAAAAGAAGAAAACAAGACTCAAAACTCCCTTAGACCCCTTTTTGGGATTGAATTTTTGCTTGTTCTATTATTCCAAATTAGACTTCCTAGGGTTGATTATAAAGGTTCCTAAATTAAGAATAATTATTTGATAATTTCTAAATAACTAATCTACCTAAACTAGTTCGAAGACGAGTAATAAATTAAATAACTATTTAGTAATTTTTAAATAATTATTTAGTAGTTTCTTAATATCTAAACTATATAATAATAATATAATAGTAAAAAAAAAATAAGACTTCCTCAACACGTATCATTGTACTTCAATTATGATTTTTTTTTTTGGGTGCATATGTTAGTTCATCTAACAATGTTAAGGCGTTTGATAGTCAGAAAAGTTCTTACCATAGATAGGCCAATTACTAGTCATTAAATCATTTTCATACAAATGAGAGGCCCTAAAGCGTAAGATCATCAACAGAAAATCCCAATACTCTTGTAGGATGAAAATCAATATATTCAAAACAAAGTGAAATGACATTTGAAAATATGCAATGATTAATAAATCAACACATACCCAATAAAGACGCAATCTCTTCGGTGTACGGCGGAAGCATGTAATAAAAACAAATGCGCATTTCGTCAACTTCTTTTTGTGTGACAACTAACAAAACATTACAAGTTATCACTGTTATAAAATGGACTACTAACCTCCATAACCCGACATGCATCATCATTATAAAAAAACTCAAATTTCCAAATACGTCCATTGTGCAACATGACTATTTTGTTAATTATAAAAAAACCCAACAAATGGCCGCACGAAGTTCATTGACTATATCTATCTCCATCATAATCTCGATAACTTTAACATATGCGAATTAAAGAGCAAATAAATTAAAACAAAATCATAATCCTTAAATGGATTGATATGGCAATCAAAAGCAAATTAAAGTAGAAATAAGAACAATAATTCTTCCTCAAAAAAAAAAAAAAAGAACAATAATTCAAATTATATTGCTTAAATACTAAGGGGCCGTTTACTAACTGAAAATTTCTGGAAACTGAAAAATAGAAAATATAATCATCTATCATCTATTTAGTTATATGTCACTATAACCACATTACTATGATTACATTCATTATTATCTTATTTTACTTATCACTATATTCTACTCCCCCTTTCCCATTTTTTCTGTCCTATTTACTATTCATTGGTCAAACCAACATTTTTTTCTTTGTATATCTTTTTTAATATTTTTTTTACTTATTTTTAAATTTAATTATTTGTGTTTAATAGTACTTTTAGTGTAGTTTCTAAATATATAATTTTTGTATACTAATACTAAACTTAATATTATGAAAATTTTGATTAAAAATAACTTCAGTCAAGCCTCGTTAATCGAACCAGGCACATAAGTTTCAACTAGACGAGATGGAAAAAGGCTTGATTCAAGCCCGAGCTCGTGCGCGCCGGCACCAATGTCGTCAGGGAATTGGCTGGCCTGCCTTGCGGCCGAAACTTGCCACCTGAGTTCGGCCTTTTCGTGGCTAAACTGAAGCTCCTTCTGTGACCGTTGCGGTCTTAATTCAGCTGTTACGGAGTTAATTCTTTGGAATTAATTCCAATTTTAATTTTGAATTAAAACTCAAGGTAGTGGTTGCTGTTATAGGAGTTGTGGGGGTGCCTTTTAATGCCAAAATAAAAGTTATCTAACTCCTTGATCCCTATATAAGAGAGTGTAGTGAGAAGCAGTTTTACACACAAGAGCACAAGCACTTTACACGAAACTTTGAGTTTTAAGCTTCAAAATTCTGCTTCTACTCCTTCTCTTTCTAAGCCTACTGTGTTCATAGCCGTGTCTTGCTCGGCGGATTCCTTGTTTGAGTGCTCAAACATTGAATCACTAGCAAGTTTTATCCTGGGAAGCCTAGGCCACAATGCTCCTAGCACTTTGGGAGGTGGCAAATAAGGTTTTAAGGAAAGAGTGCTCACTTGACTCTTGCAAAAACCCAACACCAAACACTAGCCAAATTTCTTCATCTTTTCTTCCCTTCTTTCCAGAAAATAATAGTCAATTTTATTTGATTATTATTTGTTTTTCCTACCAACGGTTCCTACAAAGTAAAAGTTATATATTCATATACATGTCATTCCAATGAATATATCCAAAAAAATATTTTAAATATTAGCTCAAAAAATATTAATATTATCTAAACTAAATTTGAGGTGAATTTAGTAGGTTATTGGTTCGGATATATTTTTTAGTTATTATGTTATATACATATATAAATTTTGTTCACTTATCAAATGTAAAAATCTTACATATATTAGACTTAAAAGTAAAAAAAAAAAATTAATTTATTTCATTTAAACCAAACATATGTAAAAATATTTTAAATATAAGATTGAAAAATCATTAGAAATTAAACTTGTGTTAATTTTATAATGTTAATCTAAAAAAATAGATTTGAAAAATTAAGTGTTAGTAAACAAGTTTTCTAAACAGAAAACAGAGAATGAAAAACAGAGAATGAAAACTGAAAAATTAGAAAACAGAAAACTGAGAACCGTTTTCTGTTAGTAAACGGATCCTAAGTTTCTAAAATATTAATTCAATACTAATAAATGAGTAGCATGTTAGCGGCAAATTATATCGTGCACCAGGGTGTACAATGCATTGTGTGCCCTAAGAGTATATGTGTATTATGTTAAGAGTTTATGTATGTTAAGAGTTTCTGTGTACTATGTTAAGAGTTCATATGTATTATGTTAAGAGTTTTTTTTTTTTTTTTTTTTTTTTTTTGGGTATACATTATGTTAAGAGTTTATGTGTATTATGCATTATGTTAAGATTATGTGTATTATGTTTGGAGTTTATGTGTATTCTATTATACAATTATGTACATACGAAATATGGGATTTTTAGGGCTCACAATGCATTGTGCGCCCTGGTGCATGATATAACAATTGCAAGTCAGCATTCAAATTGTATAAACCATATCATATCGTTCAATCCCAATGCGTACAACTCTAAACCTTTTGCATTTTTACAAAAAGCATTTCGAGTGTTCGAATTCATAGGCTTTGAGATCGCTGAAGATTTTTGTCGTTTGAGTAGTTTTCAGATCTCGGTGATCTCTCATTACAGTGACTTTCATGTCCCAAGCTTTTGGTAGACCACGAAGGACCTTTAGGTTGATTTCCTTCAAAGATGGTTCCTTTCTAAGATATGAGATCTCTCCAAGAAGTTTCGTGCACCTAAGCTCCATTTCGGTGACTGTTTCATTTGGAAGCATTTTGAAGTCTTCGAATCTTTTCATGGCCATAGTCAGCTTGTTATCATTTTCTTGTTCATCTCCCTTGCCTAGACCCATGAGAGTGTCCCATATTTCTTTTGCTGTTTTGCACTTTCGCACTCTTGGGAACAGCGAATCATCCAGGGATTTGTATAGGATATCACATGCAACATTATCAAGGTTAGCTCTTGTTTTCTCCTCCGAGGTGAGTTGAGACTTAGGCTTTGGAATCAACACTTCGGGATCTGCTCCTTGAGCTGCTGCTTGCGTGTTGACCATTGTTATCACGATAGGTCCATTTTCTATGACATCCCACATTTCGTCATGAATAGCCAAAAGGTGTGCTTGCATTCTTACTTTCCAATCATCAAACTTAGACAGGTTGAAAGTAAGAGGCCTAGATCTATTACCATGATCCTTTTCCATTTTTATGAAAAATGTGCAAAGAGAAAATTGAGAATTTTCTAAGAGTTTTTGAAAAGGGTTCTACCAGGCAGTAAAAGCAAAACGTTTACCGTTCAAGGTAACCACTCTGATACCACTTGTTGGTCCCGCGGTAGGGTCTAAAGAGAGTCTAGAGGGGGGGGGGGGGGGGGAGGGGGTGAATAGACTCTACTCGAATTTTTGAAAGTAACTTTCGGGTAGTAGTGCACAGCGGAAAAATGTGAATCCGTTTTAGGGTGTTCTTTGCACGTTTTTTATGTGAAAATTAGGGTTTGGTCAATATGTATTCAATGCAGTGAAGATAAATAACCGAAAGTAAAGAGAAAGTAAGAGAGGGATTTTTATAGTGGTTCGGCTATTAACAAAGCCTACTCCACTCTTCTTCCACAACTTGTGAAAGGGTTTGCACTATCACTCCTAGTACAAACTAAACAAGCAAGCTTCCTTGATCACTAAGCCGGACAGCTACTTGTGTAGGTTTTTCAACTCCTCGAGTTTACTCCGCCTCTATCAACGTCTTCTTCAGAGTTGAGGGTTGGAAAGATTTGATGAAGTTCTCCAACTTGTGAAATCTTGACTTGATAATGCTTGAATCTTCAATTATAAATTGCAAGATTTCCTTGTGTTCTGAAGGCTTGAAGCCTAGATGATCTCTTTGAAAAACTTTACAACAACACACTAGTTTTGAAAGCTTTTGGATGATACTTGTTAACAAAGCTTTTGTAGGTGAGGGGTATTTATAGGTGAGAAAAATCCATCCGTTGGAGGGAGATGGGAATTTCAAACCTATTAACCAGTGTGTAATATCCACTGGGCTCAAAGCATTTAATGCGGTTGTACTGTGTAGCCGTTGGCACAAAAAGTTGCTTGTCTTTTTGTCCTTTCTCACTGACAAAGGTACAAATCATTTAATGCTCATTGGTATTTGAAAATTTCATTTAGGACTCCTTTTGTCTAGGATGATTGCCCAGCTGTGAGACATAGACAAATATTCTTCTATGTTTTCATGTAGAAGTTGTCTATTCAAGTCTGACTTAGACTTTTAGTCTCGAGATCAGTTAACGAAAGATTTTCCTTATCTTTCATTTTTCTCTTCAAACCAAATGATTTCCTTATCATTTGTTGTTTACACGAGAGCTAGACCCTTCCATCATTCGGTCTAAGTTATTCTCTCGACCTTCTCTTGATATTTTCTTCTTCAAGTAGACC